AATAGAGAAACCTGAAGTATATATTATAATATGAATAGATAAGCTTGTAGTTTGTAACGAAATATGAATAGAGAAACCTGAAGTTTGTAACATAATATGAATAGAGTAACTTTAGAGAGACTTATATATTGTGTAGTACAATAATAATTGAGAAAATTGATTGTATAGTGGAATATGAATAGATATTCAAATAAAGGTGCGCGAAGAGGATGGGAGGGGTCGATATCTGGCATGCTGGCAATGCTATAGAGTTATCCCAGCGCGATCAACGAAGTTTACATTGCTTTATATACCAAAAGTTGTAGGAGAAAACTCCTTAACTAACAGCTACCGAATTTGCCATGACTATAATATCGTTTTGAGCCATTTAGAACAACAGGACTACGCAACCGCCGCACTAGAACCATCTTGCTCAGAGGCACGCCTTTCTCCTCAATCGCCAAAAAAAATACAAACACATCGCAGCACCTTTTGCAAGATATGTCCAATTATGACGATACACGAACAGTTCAAGCACGTGCCAGTAGTATCGACAAATTGGCTTGGTAGCAATCCTTTCATTCTCATTGCCTCAGCCTGATTAAAAAACCTCAGACGCTTGAATAAAGTGGTTCAAACCGTCGCTATCTGTCTCTTTGTGTAGCTCCCGTCATTCGAGAAATACCACACGACCTAGCACATGCATGTAACCAAAAGGGCGCACGCATTCAGCCATAGGCTCAACCGTCCATGGTGTCTACTGCCTTGACACAGTTAGACATGGTTACAGATGCTCTGCTGATAGAGTCAGTCATGTAGAAGTCCTTGAGGGTGTTGATCGACGCCTTCATGGGGTTGCTGGATAGCTTGGCCTCGGATCTCAGGGCAGAGGATTGTCTGTGTATGCACCAGTGTATATTCGTAGGTCAATTGAAATACCATTGGTAACCAGGAGAAAAAAAAAGTACAGCTAAAGATATTGAATGTGAAGCGGGAACGCGAATAAAATGTATACGACTATGAAACAACTGCAGCAAGTAACACGCCGCAAGCGCTTCTATTCAGAAGCCGTACAGCAGAATTGGCCTTCTGCCACTACGGATACTCCATAGCCGTACAACTAAATGAAACCCATTCAACACCCCCCCATTTCTTTTGTGGCAATAGGAGTTGATAGCTTTTCTACTGACCGATCAATCAACCAGCTGCGATCATTCTTTCAACACATACACCCAGGCAACAAATATGAAAATAATTAATCCGGACTGGAAGATGTACATATCACATCAAATAGCACCCATATACGTAAGCTTTCTCGCGCGAAACAACTCACCCATCATCCTTAATACATCATACAAGCTTCACAATACAAACATCTACATATATCATGCCTACCCCACACATACATCATACATCAACGAGCACATACTTAAAATAGTTGGCGGCTTCCTTGACATTGTACTTGGTGAGCGTGGGCGAGATATCCTCCATTCTCTGTCTCAGCTCAGCCGCGGTGTCGTAAGGCAGCGTCATACCAGCCACCTGTGAGATGGCTCGGATGATCTGCCAGTCCTCACGTGCAAGCCCAGGAGGGTTGACCACGCGACGGGTGTGCTGGCTGCGACCCTGTGGAGAAGCACAGTGACAAAGCACAGGAGATGAGCGGTTGGTACCGGCGATAGATAGATATATATACTTCTCGTTGTACGCGACACACATCTATGCATTTGTCTCCTCAGTAAGATGTTTTACTATGAGGTTAGACATACACACCTCTGTATGGACATTTGCCGCAATATTTTTCAGTGCACAAAGTACAGATCCATACATTATCACAAACGCAACTAAAAGATACACCTACACACCTCTGTATTGACATATGTCGCATCCTTCTCAGTATAAGCGGCACCCGGCAGGATCAGATCCGCTGCGTGGGCGCCGTTGTCTCCATGGTGGCCCTGGTAGATGACGAAGGCATCCTTGTTGCTAGCGTCACGCACAACCCCTCCATCCGCTCCCAATAGGTACAGAACTTCGGCCTTATTCTTGAGGGCTCCGGGTGTGTACCCAATATCGAGAGCAGCAACTTGGTTGGCGTTCTTGTGCAGTACGTTGATGGACTGTGGACAGGGATATGGGGTATTTATAAACAATCACATAACCATTGCACTAAGTTTCGCATCAAGTTATTCACATCATACGGTTATAAGACAAATACATCGCACAAAGGTTGGTGTGGGCTGTGAGGCGTTGGTGTGTGGAAGAACTATCGGTCAACGTATGTGAGATTGGATGTGAGAGACAAGGTTGTCTTGAGATCTAGGAAATCCATAAGGGGGTACTGGCGACGGTTCCTGTACGTAAGCGTGGGCATTTCGATACTTTCCTCGCCGCATACTGCACTTGAATACTCGTTCTGAGTTTCAAATCGGCATTGACGTAGAAAGGATCAACAACTCCTGGATATTGTGTTCAACAACCACAGACACCACCAACGCGTGCGCCCGGAAAGGGTACTTCAGTTGGCGTGTATGACTCGTTGCAAAACGTTAACTCCCCAACGTGCCCAGTCCGGTACAGGCTGTCCAAGTGGCGTAGTTTCCACGTACGGTACATGGCGCACGCGAAGCAGTACCTGAGAAGGCAGACAAGCCAACCCTAGCAATCCTATTTCTTAAATGGGAATTATACAGTCATGTACTGTACCCAACGCACCTTGATACACACGTGTACACACGCTGTGGTACTACTTATGTGAATCCACGCTCCTGTCTAGCTAATAAAGTACAAAAGTAAATACCTTCCAGCCAGCCTCGGGCTTGGTCTTATCGGCCAAGGCATTTACTGCGGCCAAGATAGCATCCCCGTCATCACCCATTAGGGCGTCACTGCCTACTACAATCATTGGCTTGGTAGCGCCCATGAGCTTCTTGTAGAAATCGCCCTTTCCGCTGGCAAGTTCCTTAAGCGCAGCGGCGTCTGTGTATATGTTCCAGGGATAGGATCGTAGATACGAGAAGAACATGAGCACAGAATGTGCGTAATGTTCGAAAGCATGTGGGGGTGGATAGATTGAAGCTGAAATCTGTGCCCATTTATATATATATACATACATACAAATAGATATAGGATACAGATATAAATAGATATATATATACATTTACATACATACATACAAACAAATAGATATAGCTATAGCTATAGAGATATATACATTTACATACATACAAATAGATATAGATACATATTAATATATATACGACCAGGGTGCCGTTCGTGACTATTATTGTAACAAATAGATAGTAGTATGCTAGTGTCTGTGGCATACACCGGACAGGTAGCGGTGGCTTGGCCAAGGGAGCAACACTCGCCTGGTGTTCCTGAAGCGCCCAACCAAACTAGATGCCAAATATATAGAAAAAGTGTACGTAATAGATAGAGAGTATGGTGTTTGGAGGAGTCCGGCCTCGTTTCATAGACACGCATGCTCAGGTAAGCTGGCCATGAGGGTGAGTTGTGTATGTCTGTCTACTTAGTAGTTCATAGAGATTGACTGCTATGCATGCCTATGCACGGTATTACTTCTGTGGGCGTGTGGTCTTGTGACAAGTCAACTATGTGATCGGATGACAACCTGTCGATAAGTCATATGCTTCATGTCACAGATATGGGACACATATTCCTTTAATCGCTGGTGAGGGGTTATAAAATCGGGCCACGCATAACTGTATGACTATTTTTTACCCCTAAATCCGCACAGACAGCCCCGATCCACGCACAGAGATGCATGTATGGAAGAAGATTGCCCTGTTATTTAAGCACATCTTACACTAATACGGGCCCAAATTCACATTTTTAGACACTTAAAAGTTAAAAACATTTTCCCACACTCATACACGCCTATATGCACAACATCTACAAAAAGCAGATACGATAACATATACAAGTATACTTTTTCATATGCCTGTATACGCCCGCGTACCCACTTACATCTTGAAAAACTAAATACACTGGCACATACAAACATACCCTTTACATCCATATGTAAAGATTAGATACCCCAACATATACAAACATACCCTTTACACACATGTAGAACGATTAGATGTATATACAAACATGTCCACTACATACATGTAGAACAATTAGATGCCACGGCATACACAAACATACCCTTGCCCAGGTGTTCGTATCCAAAGTTGAGTTCATTGAGGCCATCCCCGATGACGCCAATGTCCACAATACCATGGACGTAGTTCTTACGCACGCGTGCGTTAAACACAGGCGCTTCGTATCTGTATGGTGTTAAAATGTAACGGAAAAAAAAAATGACTTGGGCGATAGACAAAACAAAGACTTAATAGCGTATTATAGCAGATGATTGAGTGCCGCAAGTGGATAGATTGCAAGGATTGCCAAGGGCATATCGGATATCGTGTATATATATACTGGATGATAAGACCGAGAGCATATATATATACAAAAGAAGCCAACTGAAAAATTATAACTTAGTGACACAGTCGAACATATAGTAACACTACTGATGTGAAGCGTACAGCATTTACGTTAGAATAAACATATCAAACCAAATATTGGTATGAAAGCCAATACATTACCACTTCCATGCAATACACCCGAATAGATACAAAGATCATCAGTGATCCGGAAGCACATATGCAAGTATACCCAGTCTTGATACCGACCTACAACACTACACAGGCCTGTATTAACAACAACTACTGTAGGTGCTACAGCCGAGCAGATGTTCAGATTGGTGGGGATCGGTAGTCAGTACTCTCCACGCCACTACTGAGGGATAGGCTGCCAAAACAAATACACAGACCAACAGCACAAGTGTAGATATACCAGACATTTGTACGCACCAACCAGCAACTAACAGCACACGTGTAGATATACCAGGAATTTGTACGCACCAACCAGCAACTAACAGCACAAGTGTGGATATACCAGACATTTGTACGCACCAACCAGCAACTAACAGCACACGTGTAGATATACCAGGAATTTGTACGCACCAACCAGCAACTAACAGCACAAGTGTGGATATACCAGACATTTTTACGCATTAACCAGCAAAACACATGCCAGTACAGTGCTGTTTTCAATGACACCTGCTAAGAGCATCACAGCCAAATACTTGCACAAATTATCAGCGCATACCTGGAGTTGGTACCAATCAATGGCCATACCTACTTCCACACTACCACAGAGGACAATATTGCCAAATACAGCCCAAAAATACACAAAACATTGGCACAAGAGTAGGTATATCCGGTCCACCACCAGCCTTAACTGGATTCACTCCACTGCCGAGAGCCATACAGCCAAACACCGTCCAGAACATACACAAACGAATAGCTACTAGGGCAAGTGGTAGGTACAAACCTGGCATTAAACAAACGAAACGAAGCAACAGCCATACCTGGAGAAACACCACTGTTGAGAGCAACACGGCCAAACACAGCCACAACAACACACACAAGTTAGTAGCTCCTGGCGCAAAAGTGGTAGGTACAAGTGCAGGCAAAAGTGGTAGGTACAAGTGAAAATATACCTGGTGTTGGTACCGACCAACAGCAGCACATCGGCCTCCTCTACGCCGGCCAGACCACTGTTCATGAGATAGTTTGATCGCAAGTCCAAGCCACTGCCCGACACTGGGAACTTCTGCTCGGTGTATAACTCCTCAGAATTCCCGCGGTTTAGCAGATCCTATACGTGGTGTTGGAGAAGAAGTGATATGTTAGGGTATACAGGAGAATAGGCAGGGAGACTGGGTGAATGGTAATGAGACAGTAATAAGCTATGATATGGAAGCAGATAGATAAGGATACTTGGTCGTAAGCTATGGTATGTAGATCAACTACAGCATTCAACATCAACAACGCTACAAACACCACATGTACAGCATTCAACACCAAGCACGTGTGTATCCATTACCACATCACTCACACCCGCCCACCTTAAACCTACCCGCACACTCACCTTAAGAGCCACCATCGCCTCAGCATCCGCAAACTGCCCGGCCAACCCGGTTACGGCTGTACCAGCTTCCTGGATCTTTCGGGCGGCTACCTGCAAGGCCTCCTCCCACGACACCTTTCGGAACTTGCCAGCCTCCTTAAGCATGGGCGTCTGTAGACGTTGGCGTTTGAGACCATCGTACGAGAAGCGCGTCTTGTCGTGGATCCACTCCTCGTTGATCTCTTCGTTCAGGCGCGGGAGTACTGTGGGGGTGAGATTGTACACGTACACAGGATTAGGACAATATTGAAACAGGACTAATACAGGACTAGGACAATATTGGAACAGGACTAAGGCAGGAGAAGGTTGAGAGTACTGTTGGGTGAGAGAGGTACACGTACACAAGATTAGGACAATATTGGAACAGGACTAAGACAGGACAAGGTTGGAAGTACTGTGGGGGTGAGAGAGGTACACGCATCCGGGCTACGACGACAGCGTCCGTGAGTGAAGGGTTTTGATTTGTTCGATAAGGCGGGATAGTTCTGTGAGTTGGTAGGTACACACTTATACAGTCGGGTGAACGGGTGAGCGCTTGCGAACATGCGATGCTACAATATACTCTCCCCATACACTCACAGAGGTGGGCATGGTTACCAGTCACAATAGGTCTGAGAAGAACATACATAGCTTCGCCACCCAGTGTGTCGATATGGATGCTGCCACACACATTCATCACATCGAAGCTCTCGTTCTTGCCCCACACCCACGAGCGTGCCTACCAAGTCATACCAACATACCACTAGCTTGTACACCCCTACATACCACTAACTTATACACACCTACATACCACTA